AAGCCGTGTGGTAAACGTAAGAGAGGAAAGTGTGCTGGATTATTTACGTACCTCCGGCCGTGCGAACAACAGAGACGATACTATTGTTTGAGCGAAGCGCCAAAGCGTCGCTCGTTGCACACTTTTCTGAACACTCTAGATTTCTACGTCCGACACCTAGATACAAGAAACTACAGAGCGCAACACTTGGACACCCTAGATTTCTCCATCTAACACCTAGATACAAGAAACTACGGAGCGGAACACTTGGACACCCTGAACTTCCACGTCTGACACCTAGATGCAGGAAACTACGGAGCGGAACACCTGGACACCCTGGATTTCCACATCTAGTACCTAGATATAAGAAACTACGGAGCGAAACACCTGGACACCCTGGACTTCCACGTCTGACACCTAGATGCAAGAAACTACGAAGCGGAATACCTGGAAACCCTGGACTTCCCCATCCAACACCTGGACACAGGAAACTACGGAGCGGAATACCTGGACACCCTGGACTTCCACATCCAGTACCTAGGTACTTGGACACAGAAAACTACTTAGAGGAATACTTGAACACCCTGGACTTTTACATGCGACATCTAGATACAGGAAACTACGGAGCGGAACCCCTGAACACCCTGAACTTCCACGTCTGACAACTAGATGCAGGAAACTACGGAGCGAAATACCTGGACACCCTGGACTTCCACATCCAGTACTTAGATACAAGAAACTACGGAGCGGAACATCTGGACACCCTGGACTTCCACGTCCGCCACCTAAATACAAGAAACTACGGAGAGGAACACCTGGACATCCTGTATCTCTAAAAACTGTCACTTAAAATACGAGGAACTATGCCGAAGCACACATATACAGGGTTAGTCAGTAGAAACGCACCAGCAGAAGTTGGCCGCAAGTGACCAACACGGCAGTGTGGCCTCTTCAAAAAATGACATATGACTGTGACCCAGTCCCATAAGCACAAACTGACATTTCGCATAGCAATAAGGTTATTGAAATATTTCAATAGTTAGGTTACTGAAATAATTAATTAATATTGTAATGACAAAATATAATATCAGTTAGGATTTATTTTCACAACAGATTGTGATACAAATAACGTAAAGTTTAAAATATTCACAATTTTGATATTTCCAAGTAATGATCACAACTGCAATACAATGCTACAATTGATTTAAAAATCAATTAATTGAAATGTTTTTATAGCAAAAATCTGTTGTGAAAATAAATCTTAACTGATATTATATTTTGTCATTACAATATTAATTAATTATTTCAGTAACCTAACTATTGAAATATTTCAATAACCTTATTGCTATGCGAAATGTCAGTTTGTGCTTATGGGACTGGGTCACAGTCATATGTCATTTTTTGAAGAGGCCACACTGCCGTGTTGGTCACTTGCGGCCAACTTCTGCTGGTGCGTTTCTACTGACTAACCCTGTATATGTGTGCTTCGGCATAGTTCCTCGTATTTTAAGTGACAGTTTTTAGAGATACAGGATGTCCAGGTGTTCCTCTCCGTAGAAACCATATTGCTATGCGAATTGTCAGTTTGCGCTTATGGGAATCGGTCACAGTCACATGTCATTTTTTGAAGAGGCCACACTGCCATATCGGCCACTTGCGGCCAACTTCTGCTGGTGCGTTTCTACTGACTAACCCTGTATATGTGTGCTTCGGCATAGTTCCTCGTATTTTAAGTGACAGTTTTTAGAGATACAGGATGTCCAGGTGTTCCTCTCCGTAGTTTCTTGTATTTAGGTGGCGGACGTGGAAGTCCAGGGTGTCCAGATGTTCCGCTCCGTAGTTTCTTGTATCTAAGTACTGGATGTGGAAGTCCAGGGTGTCCAGGTATTTCGCTCCGTAGTTTCCTGCATCTAGTTGTCAGACGTGGAAGTTCAGGGTGTTCAGGGGTTCCGCTCCGTAGTTTCCTGTATCTAGATGTCGCATGTAAAAGTCCACGGTGTTCAGGTTGCAGTCAGCGTCATCTTTCGTGTAAAAAATGCGATGGACGTGCGAAGACGACGACGACGGCGACGACGGAACTGAAATAAAATCATCTCGCTCGCCATCTCAATACGCCCTGATCTCGTACAGAAATCGTATTGAACGTGGTGGCAATCAATTCAGAACCCTCAGTTCCTATAGTGAATGTATCAATAACTTTTTCTCATGTATAGTGGTTAATAAGATATTTCGTTCCTAACACAGGTATAATCAGAGTTGACTCAAGTAAAGAGTCTCTGCGAGCTGTGCCCTGTACAGCCGGTTGCCCTGTACTTGGCGCGAGACTCGACCGAGCCTCTTGATGAACGATACTCAAGTTGAACGCTCGAATTGGAGCGTTCAAAGCTTTGAACGCGCAATTTTCTAATCATTTCTAACCTATTATTAACTTTTGTAAACTGTGCGAACTGTACAACCGTAAAAAATGTCCATTGATATGGATCTGCTTTCATCCTCTGACGATGATGTGTTTTCGTCCTCTAACGATGAAGATATTTTGGACTACCTTAATTTTGTCATCCGTCGCCCAAGATAATTAAAATTGAGTAAAAATTAGTTTAATCTTGATGATGTGGAATTCAAAATAAGATTCCGTCGGAGTAAAGAAAGTGTTTCAGCTGTGCTGAAAAAATTAATGATCAACTGACATTTTCAACTAGTAAGTACGTATAGATATATTATAACTTTGTCAAAATTTGGGTTTTGGATGTAAGTCAGGTTAAAATTCAGTAAACGTGTCAACGTTTGCGAAACAGAGGCACATTTGATGAAATCGAACATCACTTACATCCAAAAACCAAATTTTGATATTGAAAATAACTGTGAAAGCTTGAAATCAATTATTATAATTTTGCTTATATTGAACAGCTATCTTTTATTGTTATTAATGCTATACCAGTTATGGATCAACTATTGCTTATGTTGAGAACATATGCAACTGGATGTCACTTGATATCAGCAGGAGATTTTTGTGGCGTTAGCACTACAACTGCATATAGAATAATGCATAGAGTAACAAGAGCTATTGCAATGCTTCGGCCAGAATATGTCAATTTTCCTACTACACAAGAGGAGATACGTAGAGAATATCGCCGCTTCTACAATATAGCTCGACTCCCCAAAGTGGTTGAATGTTTAGATTGTACGCATGTTAGAATACAATCTTTTGGTGGGTACTAGTTAAGTATAATGTGAGTTAAATAATATTTCCTTAAATAAAAATGTTGACTTCACTAATAAAGAAAATAAAACGATCTACCTTATCAAAAAACCCAGAAATTTCCTATATGATCAGAAAGTAAAAAAATTCTTTGTTGTTCGGAGTTTTGATTGAGTTAGATATTAAATTAAATCAATGTATTAATTACCACTTGATTAAACATTTGTTGATAATTTTACTTATACCATGTGAATTTATACTGAAATTTTTCAGGCGGCTGAGATGCAGAACTATTCAGAAATAGAAAGGGTTACATTTCTATGAATGTCCAAGTAGTGTCAACTACAATTTTGGGAATATCTACCATTGTAGCACGGTGGCAAGGGTCAGTACATGATGCGACTATTTTCAAAAGCAGTCGACTTTCCGCGGCTTTTCAGCATGGAGCATACGAAAATGGAATATTACTAGGGGACAACGGTTATGCTCTGAAGAACTATCTCATGACGCCCATATTAAATCCACAAGTTAAAGCAGAATAACGATACAATGAAGCATACATAAGAACACGCAATACCGTAGAACGTCTTTTTGGAATTTGGAATAGACGGTTCCCTATATTAGCTTTAGGAATTCGCTTCATAGTGGATATGGTTATGGCCATTATTGTTGCAACCGCCGTAAGAGCAAGTGCCCCAATGTGAACCATATTTAAATCTTCCTTGTCCATGGAAGCAACTTATACAATATGGGAATATAAATGAACTAATGCAGGCTAATGATAGAAAAAAAAAAAACCTACATTTAATATAAGTATAAATATAATAATAGTAGTAAAAATAGTGGCAATAGTAGTTAATTTGTCTTGGATGCAATTGAATCGTCATAAGTAGATTAGAGTATTCGATAGGTTTCTTTCCTCTCTTCAGTGAAGTGTTTTCTGGTTTTTTTTTTTAATATTTTCCCAACAATTCATCAACGCTTCGACATTTCTGTAAAAGCCCATATTCATCCCAACATTTGTGTTTCTGTTTCATACCAACAACAGTCGTCTGCTTATTTTCTATATCTTTCTTGTTATTTATTAAATCAAATAATAAAATCTTATCATTTTCTGTAAAGTTTGCAGATCTTCTAATTTTGTTCGCACTTTCCATTATGTAACGACGATATTCGAAATACTGGTCGACAGCAATAGCGAATGGAAACTTTCGTTACAAAAATGAAGATATGACGTAAAAGTTCAATTGATCTGGATCAAATTAGAGCTGAAGAAATACATCCTGATTTTGATGTCAGTTCACATGTGAACCGACTTCAGCTGATCTGTCATTTGAACCGCGTCGAAGAAAACGGGCGTTACAGGTCTACAAAAGCGTGTAATTCAAAACTACTGTTAGATACGCCAACACTTTGTTGGTGCCCTCTCGGTTATTTCCTTAGACATTAACTATTCTAGTGTCGACGATTTCTTATGCCAGTTGACACCCCCTGGTTGAGATTTCCCTGTTTACAGCGCCGCCAAGCGGTTTCATCGGAAACGCTTACTCGACACATATTTGGATCCATTCCTGGTATCCACAGTTTTGTCTCCTTCTGTCTAGCCTCCATGAGTCCAGTATTGCGTCTTTTAATGCATTGTATTCCGAGTTCTACGATCTGCTGATTTATTTTCTTTTCTTTTCTGTTACCTTTTGGTTTATTTTCTTTCCTGTTTTCTTTTTGTATCAGTACTCGTTTTATTAATTACATTCTTTTACATTTTACACAGTGTTCCGTTTCCTTTTCGGGACCCGGTCCTTTCTAGCGATAGATGAAATTGCGCAGACCCTGGGTAGAAGCGCACGTCACAGCGCATCTATTACGCGCAGTATATGACGTACCCGCTTAAAAAATACGATAGAATTCGATAAGAAACGATAAAACTAATTGCCGATTTCAATCGTTTTCTATCAGTCCTATCTACATCAAGTTGAAGTGATGATAGAGTTTCTATCTAATGTAATCTGAACCTATCAGGTTGTTGCTTTATCGTAATAATACAATAGAAATTTAATCTATACCTATATGTATTTTCATATAAGCAGTACGTCTATCTATGGTAATATGAAATTCACGTTCTATTACGTATATGATGCTATATGATTCTATATGATTCTATATGAATCATATTTTTATATGTATTAATATGAAAATGCGTGATAGGAATCGAATCGTTTTCTATCGTCACCAACTTATTAGGGAAGAATATGAAATAAACGATAACCTTCTTATATGGCTTAATAACAAATGGTTTTCTCAACAATTATCATGAATTTGAGGATGCACTGCACGTACATTTCCCACCAAGAATCTGATTTGATTTGAATTTGAGTGCTTTGACACGAGAATAAAAACTGAAAAAAATCGACGTCTTGGAAGATAGGAAGAATGTTTGTTTTTAATAATAATGCCAAAAAGTTACTAATAAATGAATTAAAAAAATTAATTTACATATTCGGTAGACAACTTTCATATGAAATGAAGTCTCTAATTTTTCCGATAAAAAAAGAGATATTCTTAATATCTCCAAGACGCTGTTTTTTGTCAAATTTTTCCCTTATCGCAAGACACTGAACGAAATCAATCTTTTGGTTGAGAATTTATGTACAATGCATTCTTAATACAGTTAACTAGCGATCAATTTGTCGTGTCATGCATAAAGTGATCCTATATAATATGCAATAATAAACCTATTAAAAACGATAGAAATTGTATAGGAAATATTAGATAACGAATCTAAATTTTACGAACCAAAAACACGATTGGATTAGATAGGATTTTTTAAAAATCGTTTTCTATCGTATTTTTTAACCAGGGTAGACTAAAGAGCGTGCTAAGTAGGGGAAGCCTTCTCCTCTAGCCACGTTTTTTATGCGTCAGAATCGTTTGAGCCGACTGTACATAACTTAAAATCTATGTGTCAATAAATCCATGCATATTTTTAGTTCATGAATTTTTAGATTTTTTTTCTTAGCTATTGTGAATTGTAGAATAGGAAGAATACCATTCTGTTGGAATTGAATATTCCAGTTACCCACGCCACACTGACAAAAAGATACGAGAGAGTCGTTGGAAAAGCGATCGAAGAAGCTGCCAAAGAGATCTGCCGGAAAGAATTACAATTGAAAAAAAAATTTAACTGAAGAGGATAAAAGGTAATATTACAGTATAATTATAGATATGTCTGTAAATGAACAATGCTTCAGTCATAAAGAGCAAATAAAAAAAAATTGATTGAAAACTCGTAATTACTGTCGTTGATTACTTTTTTCGTAACCTTAAATTTCCCAGTCCTTCTCCCTGAACTGTGTAAAACGCACTCAAAAATATATGCAATTTCCAGCGGCACGATATCCTAAACTAAGTAATGGCTCCAGATAGTTTTTGATTTAAAATTAAATTGCAACTTCACACTCAAAACATGTTAAGCTCGATTGATTGTTTCGAAATTGGCGCTAACGGTGAGGTTAGGTGTGGTTTCGCGCTGTTGCCAGATATCGATGGTTGACTAGCCGAGGCTGCTCTTTCAGATACATTTTCCTTGCTTCGACGTTGAATATTTTTTTATCGTGATAGCGATCGAACGTTTTTCTTTCTTTGAATGAATCTTAAAACTTCAATTCATATGATCTACTGGTTTGCGAAGCCTTATCTTTTTTTAATATTAGGTGCGCAACTAAGTTCTCGCTGTTTTTTTTATGAAAATGCAACTTTAGTGTAAAAAACTGTTACAAATGAATCATTCAAAGTATTGCCCATCGTTAACTGCAACTTTTTCCCATCTTTCTGGTAGAGCTCGAATACCGTTACGGTAAAAGTGTTAATTTTTCGAGGCTATCCACGAATCAAGCCATTTTGTGATGTCTTCATATGAGCGGAACTGCTGATCAGCCAGAACATGTGCCATCGACCGGAACAGGTAATAATCGGACGGCGCAATATCTGGGGAATACGGCGGTGGGGTAGGACTTCCTATTTGAGCGTTTCCTGGTAGGTTTTAACGGGTTTGGCAACGTGAGGCCGAGCGTTGTCATGCTGTAGAATCATAATGAACCCAAGTTCCTTGTTTCTGAATCATTCCCAACGCATGCAATCGCTTGGAAATGGCTTGGCAGGTAACTCCTAATGCTAAAACAAGATCTTCTTGCGTTGGGCACGGATCCTCATCGAGCAATGCCTCCAATTCAGCGTCTCCGAAGGTTTTTGGCCTTCCTTTACGCGGATGGTCGTCAACATCGAAATCACCGTCTTTCAAGCGACGGAACCAATCACAGCACGTTATTTCACTTAGAGCAGCATCTCCGTAAACTTTTTAAAGCTCTCGATGCGCTTCAGCCGCCGTTTTCTTTGAATGAAAGAAGAAAATTAACACTTCCCGCAAATAACGATTATTTGGCACAAAATCAGACATTTTCACACAACCAAAAGTATGACGCCAAAACAAAATCACTAATGTGTCACAACGGTTTGTTTACCATATGTCTAAGCTTGGTTCATGACGTTTTGGATATGTCAAAATCGGCCAGCACTTACTGTTGGAGCCATCTATTGACAAACAGCGGGAACTTAGTTGCCCACCTAATATAATCATAAAATCTCGTTAAATGCGGTCGTATACCTCCCGTTCATATACTCTGATGTTAAACTGACCAACTTTGAATGCCTATATTTCCGTAATTAGGTGGTAAAAATTCGTGAAATAATTCCTGATCATGTATAATTCGATATAGAATAACATAGTTTCCTACCAATGAAGAATCATTATTTTCGTTCATGCAATAGCTATCTTAAGACCTCACGGAATGTTCTTATTTCAAAAATTAATATTTTTCCAGCCAACTCATTGCTATCGTATGACCTACCCCCACCACTATTGAACTTACAGTTTTTTAAGGTTTTTGGCAGAATCAATAACTACCAAAACTTTTAACTAACAAGAGGAGTCTCTAACAATCGGATTTTTGTAATTTTTTATATTCATGGTACATGAGGCTAAGAACTCAAATAGTAATTTCCCAAAGCAATCCGATATCATATTCAGAATTTCTCGAGAAAATCGACTTTGAAGTTGTGCGAGCGGTTTATGTGCACCCATTATGTTACACTATTCGAGTAGGACGCGTAGCTCATACGGTAGCATTCAAAGCTAGTAATTGTGGGATTGCGGTTCGAATCTCACTTCTAGTGTCTTTTTTTTCAATCCATTTCGCATACATACATTTAAATATAAAAATCATCAGATCTATGCCAATTCACAGATATATGTACAATTATAATCTTCTATGAAAATCGCACGTTTTATTTTTAATTATCTCGAGCCTGAAATGGCGAATAGGCGAAAAAAAAATAATATCCAGTAGTAATATTCTTCCACGTACGATGAAATTGGCGAGTTATTGTAGCCATTATGGTTTGTTGTGTGTTTTCCATATATGATACTTTGTGTTGAAAAATCATATTTAATCTTATTGTGATATACAATATAAAAGACAAACATTTCAGACCATGACAAAAGATGTATTGTTTGTAAAGCGGAACCTAGTCGAATTTCCAATCGGAGCTTTCATATGTAAGTATTGCATTTATTTGTAGTGTTACTTTTAATCTATAAATGTGACATTCATATATTACATCCTATTGTAAATACAGGTTTCTGAAAAATGAATTATTAAGGAAAAAATGGATCAATGCTATAAAATTGCAGAAATCTCCAAATTTCAAAACAATGCACATTTGCAGTGATCATTTTAACAAGGAAGCATTTTTTCATGTAGATGAGCTGAGGAGATGAAAGCGGCTATCCCTAGAAGCAGTACCTCAAATAAACAGTGAAAATACATGTCGTTCTTCAATAAGTAACGGAAGTTAGAAATATTAGCATTAATAGCTATGCAGAAAATGAAGAGAAACATGCAAGTTTAGAAAATAATGTGGATAAAGAGACAAATTCTCAAGAAAATTGTTAAACCAATGACTTGAGTTCACAATCACATTGGAATGAAGAAAGACTGAAAAAAGTACAAATAAGCTGTGTTTCACAAATTCTCTTAGAGAAAGTTTGCAATCAATTTGAATTGAATCAAACAGTATGAAAAGGTAATGAATTCTTTTTCACAGTAATGATGTGAATGCAGTTTTTATGCATAATAGTATAAAAAGGCTTTACCACAGAGTATATCTGTCGAGAAGATTTTATCTCAGATAGAACTTAGAGTCGATTCTTAAGATATTCAGCTTATGAAAGATCTAAAATTTGAGCAGCTCATAGTCAAAGCTCACGTATCAGAAAAAGAAATTTAAGTTTGAAAGATATAATCAATACTTTGCATATCAAGAAGGAATTTAATGCTGCAGTAAATCTGAAGGTTTAATTTTTATTCTTATTATTATTATATTTATTTATATTTATATTTGTATTATATTATAATTGAAAAAAAGTGTACTGTGTTTTATTGATTATATTTTTCTGATTTAAAAAATAATGTTCTATTTTATAATTTGTATATATTATTATCTCCAAATATATATATGATCTATTCAAGCATTTTAAGCTGTTTTAAGCTACATTCTGATTTTATATTAAAGTATATGATACATCAATATTATAATAGAAATGTACTCAAATTTATATTAATGAAATAAATGTTTTGAAAAAAATTTTTTTAATTAAGAAAATATACTATCCTATTGTTATAATATTTTTCATTTTTTTATAGGATTACTATCACATTTAAAAGAACTAATAATACGTATGAGAGAACCTAAATCAACAGCATCTTTTCCATCCCATTTGAAGAACTTTGCTCGAACCCTTCACTTTCATTTTCCGGCCGCATATGAAGTTGTCAGACATAATTTTTTAAATTGCCTACCTTGTATTCAAACCCTTCACAGTTGGATATGTACCAAAGGTTACAAGCCAGCAATTTCTGAAGAAATTATTAAAAATATATCTGAAATAAGCGTGAGGCAGCAAAAGGTAAAAAGCTTGTCTTTAATATTACTTTTAATGAAATGCACATCAAGCAGCATATTGAATGGGATAAAAATACTCATTCGTGAACAGGTCTTATTGATTTAGGGGATCAGTTAAATGAATTAAACAAAGACAGACGGAACAAAATTGCTTCAAAAGCATTAGTTTTCATGGTAGTCAATATAAATGGTGGATTCGAAGCTCCAATGGCCCACTATTTAATTAACTCTTTAACTGGTGTATAAAAATCTATTTTACTAAAAAATTTACTGATTAAGCTGCAAGAAAAAAGTATCAATGTAGTAAGCGTAACATTTGAAGGTGATACAACTCATAAAAATAGCTTATGAAGCTCTAGGAGCTCACTTAAGTTATAAAGCCAAAGAAAATTTTAAGCCATACTTCAAACATCCAAATTCTATTCAACCTATCTATATATATTTTGTATGATCCTTGTCATGGTTTCAAGCTAGGCTGTAATTATCATCTTGTGGAAGATTTAATAAATAGTAATGTTGTTGAATACCTGTTGAGTTATAAGTTATCCCAAGATCCAAGATAATCCCACCACGATTCAGTATAAATCTGCGTATAGAAAATTAGTGTCTAATAAAATAAATGTAATCATTTCTCCTGCGAATAGTTCTCAGTTAGGTGAAACAATACTTGTTTCTGAACAAAAGTGGTAATCCTATCGGCGAACAAAATAACACCAGTAATGAAAATATATCTTTGGAAATGACGAAAGAGAAAACAATGATTAAACAAAAAGTAAAAAATTTGTGTACATACCACTGAAACTCTAGGGGGCCTATCACGGTTCTTGGATTGGGTGAAAATGACGAATGTGAGCAACTCACCCAATTATGATCAATCTCAACTCGTGAAAATAATAGACTAATCACGTGAGGAGACTCGACACGATATTTCACGTGAAAAGGTGAAATCGACGTTCGTATACTGGAGTGTGGAATGCGTACGACTGTATTCGGAGGTAACCCAGCGAGCACACAGCTGTTTCACTCACTTCACGTATAAGGTTGTACTTTTCGAATTGAACTGCGCATGTGGTGTATAAGCCCTGCAAAAATGTTGTAACGCCGCATATCTGTGCCAGTTAAGCCAGCACCATCGACATATAGTACTGGACTGCTCACTGTAGTTGCAGAAAGGGTAATCGGGAATAGAAAGAGAGAGCAAATCGTAAGGACCGATCTGTCCTTTTCTATAATTTTTCTATTGGTCGAAAGGTTTCTGGATGGAAGGGGTTCAGGACTGTAATATGCAAAATGAGAACCATGTGAAAGATTACTCCGCACATCTAGAATGTATGTACGTTGTTACAGTCGAATCATGGAAACAAAAGCCTCCGTGAGTCAAATCTCAATTGTCTTGATTACTTTATTGTAGTTGAATTTATCAAAATTCAATATTACTAAAAAAATGGTGATTCGCTGTGTTAAGTGTGGACTACCGGGAGACCTGTATTTTGAGCCAATACGATAAGCTTTCACAACTAAGTAAAATGGAAAAATAACCTTAAATTTTATGATTAACATAAGATTAAATCAATTTTTAAACTTATAAAATATATAAATAAAGTTCATCATGAAACATACATTTTACTGTGCGGGGTTCCCTTATTCCTGATTCCGCTCCTGCCCAAGAGAAGGACAGCATGGTCCTTACGATTAGCTCTCTCTTTCTATTCCTAATTACACTTTCTGCAGCTACAGTGAGCAGTCCAGTACTATATGTCGATGGCCAGCACTGAAATTCAAATGTATGTATGTGCATACATACATAAGTACAGAGATGGTCTCTAATAAGCAGAGATGAGTGAAGAGATGCACAACGCTACGGTTTCAGGCGATACCAAAAGCATGGCACTAAATCGTAGCGGCGAGTCCGGGAGTAGGATTTCGTGATCATGATTTCGTGATCATCGCCTCTGTCGATGTTACAGATTTCGCGTAGCCGCGCGGGTCACGAGCATCGTTCCAGCCGATATTGCAGTCAGCGTGAAATGAATGGATTGCTCAGTGGACCGTCGTCGGGAAGTTAGCGCGGGAAATTAAAAATTTGTATATTTATAATGCTTAAAATATTGCTCCTTAAATGCTCCATATGTTTCCGTAATTGCTCCACTGCTACTATGCAGTGATTGATAAATATTCATTAAAACAGAACATTTTTATTTTTATTGAAATTCCAAATAACCGAGCAGATTTTCATATGAGTTTCTTTATGAATTAATTGCTCCCGATTTGCTCCCAATTGCTCCACAATTAGTTTTTTATTTAATTAAAGCATCTTTAAATAATAAGTAAAATTTGATTTTTACTTAGCTCGATTGCAAACGTGAACATTATGATTGGTTTGCGAACACACCTATTACAGCTGCGTTCTAAGATCAGCCGAAAGTGCGCGAACATCGTTGCCTCGGTTCATTTTCGAACACACTTGGTCAATTCAGGATTGGTCAATTCCTTTAGATCAGTATCAACTAAACCGGTTCAAGACCGCCGTGTAAACGTAGTTTAAGGCCTGTTATCTTCTGCGCGCTTCAATGTATAAACTACGTTTATTTTCAAAATACAAATGTCTGATTGGCTAACAGCCCAGTTAAGCCGAGTTTATGCATTGAAGCGCGTCGAAGAAAACGAAGCGTAAATCGGTTCAAGCCGCCGTGTAAACGTAGTCAGTGACTAACACAGGCATTTCCACTTTCAAGAAATAATTGGGATTTATCAGTTCCTTTAGATGAGTAATAATTAACCCAGAATAAGACCGTGTGAACGTGGTCGATGACTACATTCACACGACGGTTTTATTTCGGTTATGATTTTACTAAAAGATAACCCTCGGTTAACTGGCGAAATTACATGTTTGAACACGCTAAGGCATTGATTTAGCCTAACCATTAGAGTAACTTATTTTGATTCCAGGTGATTTTTCTTATTCGTGCGATGTATATTTCATTGTGAAAACGGTTATCATGTCCGATGTGACTTTATGTATGATTGCTACATATAAAAAACAAATTTTTAAATGATTTTGGGCAATAGCAATCTCATTCGTTATCACTAGTAAATATGATTATCTCTCATTCTTTCAGACTAATTATTTTTAATCCGTCATAAAATATTTTTTATGTAACTCATGCATGAAAAACACTACTTTTCGTGCCTCCGAAGTGTGGCGAAAGTGGTGCTTTATATCTATGGATACGATAAAAATGCTGCGCATGCGTAAATCGGCCCAATTTTACATTATCGCACTAGTGCTTTCTTCTCGCACTAATGCGGTAAAGTAAACTTTGTTCTCGCGCGCTGTCATGAAATGCATTCACTTTGGAAGCCTTCCTTGCTCTTCTTATGGCTGCCTCCTCCAACTAAGAGATGTTCCAGTCACTTTGGAGGCACGAAAGTAGCGTTTTTCATGCATTCGTTACAGAAAATATTATGCGATACTGGTACAATAAAGCGAACATTATACGCAGTTCGTGAAGTTTGTCACACTCGCCGCACTCGTAAAACAAACAGCACTCGCCTTCAGCTCATGCCGTTGTGTTACTCGTGTGCGGCTTGTGCGACCAACTTCACCGCCTGCCTATAAAGTTCGCTTTCTCGCACTTGTATCGCAAAGTACTATTAAGGCAGGATTTAAATAAGGTATTTCTTCACGACTTGTGCTATTAAAGAAAAATGTCTATTCATAACCTTTGTTTTATGTTACTAGTTTTGCCGATAATTATAAAAGTGACCTAAGTGACAATATGAATAAATTATGTTAATAATTGAACCATTTTTTTTTATACGCACAAACGCAAAAATCTAATTATCGAAAATAAAAGTGACAGATTACTTTTACAATATAATGAACGACACGCTTGTAGTCGTAAAATATAAAATCTATTTTCGTAACATTGCCAATACTGCTGATTAATAATTTTACCTGAAGATCATGCAAGCAGAGTTAAATTAGATAACTTTGACGATAATGTTAATTCAAAGTACTATTTGAAAGTTAACTGAAATTTAGCAGCTTTAACACATTTTTCGGACTAATTGGATATTTGAAGTTCTCATGTCCGTTTTCTTCGACGCGGTTCAATGCATAAACTCGGCTTAACTGGGCTATTAGCCAATCAGACACTTGTATTTTGAAAATAAACGTAGTTTATACATTGAAGCGCGCAGAAGATAACAGGCCTTAAACTACGTTTACACGGCGGTCTTGAACCGGTTTAGTTGATACTGATCTAAAGGAATTGACCAATCCTGAATTGACCAAGTGTGTTCGAAAATGAACCGAGGCAACGATGTTCGCGCACTTTCGGCTGATCTTAGAACGCAGCTGTAATAGGTGTGTTCGCAAACCAATCATAATGTTCACGTTTGCAATCGAGCTAAGTAAAAATCAAATTTTACTTATTATTTAAAGATGCTTTAATTAAATAAAAAACTAATTGTGGAGCAATTGGGAGCAAATCGGGAGCAATTAATTCATAAAGAAACTCATATGAAAATCTGCTCGGTTATTTGGAATTTCAATAAAAATAAAAATGTTCTGTTTTAATGAATATTTATTAATCACTGCATAGTAGCAGTGGAGCAATTACGGAAACATATGGAGCATTTAAGGAGCAATTTTTTAAGCATTATAAATATACAAATTTTGATTTTCCCGCGCTAACTTCCCGACTGCGCTCGGTGGTGGGGAAAAAGTTGCCGCCCCTTACAAATCGTTACAAATCGACAACCAGACGGGGCAGCAAGGTCTTCCGTCCAATCGAACCCTAAGCATTTGTATGGACATAATGCGCAAACAAATGTGTATATTCAAATAAATTTCAAAGTTATAAAAAATGCATAGAAATATTGGTTTGCACTCTTTACCTCTTATCATGCCGAAAATAAACATTAAAAAATAAATGGCGAAATTCGTTTTTAAATGAAACGACCGAGAAAAGTTCAAAGAGAAATTTTGAATTATCATACGGGTTACAGGTTCGATCCCTCATGAAGAACTCTTTTTTTCATCTTTTTTTTCAATTTACAGTAGATATACAAGGAGAGTTCTGGCTCAAGATTCCTGCACCGACACGTTACCGACCTCTGGGTTCGCGTCCGTGCTAAGTTAGCGAAGTTGGCGCCCCCTGTGGATGGTAAGTTGGTAAGTTAGGGCAATTGGGCCCCCTATGAAAGATGTCTGCTTACCGACGCCTCCGGAATTTTGAAGAGGGTGCGCGCACACGAGTCGTCCCCCTTCGGTTTGACGTCATCGGAAGGGGGCCCTGGTTTTACATCAGGTATCAGGGATTATACGACAGATTTCAGAAATTTTGCATCAGACGTAATTGAGTACATTCTAGATCCTTCTACTGCAACCCCACTTCAGTCTCATCCCTTACACATGAAGCGGTGGATTTCAAAGGAGATGATCGACAACGTTACCGAGTTTTGTACTTGCGATCCTCTGGCAGCTCCTACCCTCCTTTCCCTTCCCCCCCATCCCCGCAGACCAGCGTGTGGAGGTGAGGAATGACCCTTTGTATGTCACCGAAGAATTTCGACGACATTTCATCATAAGCCCCCTATTTCTCTTCCGCCTTCTTCACCTCTATCGTTCCGCTACGATACAGTGGCTTTGGACAGACGGTAGAAATCAAAGGAGGTGTCGAATGATCCTTTGTACTTACCGAAAAAATTGTTTACAATAATTTAATGTGCACTATTTATTCGAGAAGAATTGCGCATCGAGACGGTGGATCTTTGATGCTAAAGAATTTACCCAGTTCCGCTACGATACATTGGCCTTGGAGAGACGGTAGAAATCAAAGGAGGTGTCAAATGACCCTTTGTACGTTACCGAAAAAATTGTTTGCAATAATTTAATGTGCACTATTTATTCGAGAAGAATTTAGCAATTTCCACTACGATACATTGGCCTTGAAAAGACGGTAGAAATCAAAGGAGGTGTCGAATCATCCTTTGTACTTACCGAAAAAATTGTTTACAATAATTTAATGTGCACTATTTATTCGAGAGGAATTGCGCATCGAGACGGCGGATCTCTGATGCCAAAGAATTTAGCAAACCTTTAGGGTGTCGATACTTAGGCTTAGTGAATAACGCGTCAAGTCCTTCTACATATCATCAAAATTACCTCCGGCGAGATGGTCAACGGTTTCGGCGAGCCGGAAATATAGGGTTACTCAAAGGCTAGATATGAGGTGTCCGGCATGTGTCTTTGATGGCTAGGAGCTACCGACGATTTGTTTATATTACCGCCGAGCTGAATAATGTTCTTAGAATGACACACATTAATCAAGGGATAGATAATTTATTCACTCGCCAATTAGAAACGTTGTCAATTTTAATATTATTATTATTATACCAGAAAAAGGTGATGAGGAATGCTCATGCCTTAGACTTATGAACGACAGCCCGTGATGTAGAGCAACCATTGATGTTCAAACCTCATCGAGTGTACCTTATTGTAAAAGCTTTTAATGAGAGAAAAATGGATTCTGCAAAGTGTAAGAAATTGATTCAGAT